TCCTATATCCCCTACATCCTCCCTGCACCTCCCACATCCCCCTAAATGCTCCCCTGCATCCTTGCAATCCCTGTACCCCTCCTGCATCTCCCCTAAACCCCCCCCCGCACCCCTCCTGCATCCTCCCTAACTAAACCCTCCCTGCATCCCTGTACCCCCATGCATGACTTTGCATAGTCATACCCCCCTGAATCCTTCCTAAATCCTCTCTGCACCCTTACACCCCTTCTGTATTCCCTGAAATCCTCCCTGCATCCCTCTGCGTCCCCCTGCATCCTCCCTAAGTCCTCCCTGCACCCCTCCTGCATCCTCCCTAACTAAACCCTCCCTGCATCCCTGTACCCCCCTGCGTGACTTTGCATAGTCCCTGCACCCCCTTCCTGCACCCCTCTCGCGCCCCCTCCGGCATCCCAGCGCCCCACCCCTGCATCCCGCCCAGCAGCAGGAGGATCACTCCGGTCCCCTCCTGTCCCTTGCTCCCCTCGCCACGAAGAGCCTGTGCCGCCCTGCCCGCACCCTGACCCCGCACCTACCCCGGCACCCGCGGGAGGGGATTTTCCTCTCTGAGGACACACGGAACAAATCCCGCAGCTGCTGCTCCCTTGCCCGCGGCTGTCGGGTGACTGTGCCCCCAAAGGATGCCAGTGGTGGGTCAAATCCCGCGCTCCCTTGCCCGCGGCTGTCGGGTGACTGTGCCCCCAAAGGATGCCAGTTGCCAGTGGGGGGCTGGAGGGGAGGGAGCCCTGGGGATGGCGAGCATGGGAAGAGCAGCGAGCAGCGAGCCTCCAGCAAGTGGGGAAGACTTTGCAGGGGCTGCTGCGCAGGGGTGACTGTGCCCCCAAAGGATGCCAGTGGTGGGTTGGGGGCTGGAGGGGAGGGAGCCCTGGGGATGGCGAGCATGGGAAGAGCAGCCTCGCCTGAGCCTCCAGCAAGTGGGGAAGACTTTGCAGGGGCTGCTGCCCTGGCGGAGGGGTCCTGGGGGGGGGACGGAGGTGGACTGAGCCCCAGTGGAGCTGCCCAGCCCTGGGCCTGAGAGCGGTTCCCTGGCACAGGGGGCAAATAGCAGGGAGCGGCACCCTGTTCCGGGGCCATGCTGGGCACCCAAGGGAGCCTGGGTGAAGGTGGTGCTGGTCTGGGGTGTCACGGCTCTCTCCAGGGGCTGCGCTTCGCTGTGGTGAGCAAGGAAATGATGAGCCTGTTTGGCGTCGCAGGTGCGTGTTTCTAACGGGGAGCGTCACCATGGCCACGGGGGGGACAACCAGCCCCCCCAGCGTCCCTCGTCACACCAACCGCCTGATTAACGAGAAGTCCCCCTACCTCCTGCAGCACGCTCACAACCCCGTGGATTGGTAAGAGCGACTCGTGTCTTTCTCCCTCCTCGTCCCGTGTCCGTGGGGCTGAGGGACTTGCTGCCATGGAAGCGATGGCAGGCGAAGCAGTGTGGCCTCCTGTCCAGCTCCCCACAGGCTTGGGGTCCATGCTCCTGAGCCAGCCATGCCCCCGGCTGTCTTGACCGCTCTCCACCAGGCAGCGGCTTCTCAGGCAGCTTTAGAGGAGCCCGTGAATCCTGGCAGCAGTGACCCCTGAAGCTCCTTTCTTGTCTTCCCTCCACAGGTTCCCTTGGAGTCAGGAAGCCTTTGATAAAGCAAAGAAAGAAAACAAGCTGATATTCCTGTCAGGTAACCAGAAACAAGACGTATTTCGTGTTCCCACGTGTTGTGCAGTAGATGACCAGATAAGCCGGGCTGTGTCCTGAGCTGGTGTGTGAATAACTGCATAGGTAAGGCTGAACACTGGGCACTAATTCTCTGCCAGCAAGAGAGGGCTTTAATAGCTCTCGCTGAAGATGGGCTGCATCCAGGGGCCCTCCTGGCTACCAGAGTCCTCGGCCAGTTTTTAGGAGCAAGAGCTGGAGAGCCCAGGAGGCCCTGCAAGCCTCCATGCTCGCAGGAGGCCTTTCTCCTCCACCTCTTCTCCAGGGGGGCAGCAGCTGTTCCCCATAGCAGGGTGTCCCACCTCTGAGCGATCTCCCCATAACGCCTGTCCTGCTCCCCGCAAAGGGCCTTTCCTCACTCGCCCGAGCTTGTTTTCAGTTGGCTATTCCACCTGCCACTGGTGCCATGTGATGGAGGAGGAGTCCTTCAAGAACAAGGAGATCGGGGAGATTATGAACAAGAACTTTGTGTGCATCAAAGTGGATCGTGAGGAGCGGCCAGATGTGGACAAAGTGTACATGACCTTCGTGCAGGTAAGGGAGGCACGGGCAGGGCTCGGGAGGCTTTAACTGTTTCAGGATGAGGTTCGTGGTCCTCAGGCAAGAAGAACCATTATGTGGGGTGGTCTGAATAGGGCCATCCACGATCACAAGGATGGAGAGAAGCACACATCTGTCCTCAAGTGAGGCACGTGTGTGTGCCAGAGGGGTACAGAGCAGAGGGTGCCTCTTGCGTGACCTTGGTGCACCCGTGATTCGTCTTTCAGGCAACCAGCGGTGGAGGTGGCTGGCCGATGAGCGTCTGGCTGACTCCAGACCTCAAGCCCTTTGTAGGGGGTACATACTTCCCTCCCGAAGATGGAGTTCATCGTGTTGGCTTTCGGACCGTGCTGCTCCGAATCGCAGAGCAGGTACAGAGCAGGAATGGCGTAGCAGGCAGTGCTCAACCAAAGGGGCCGCAGGGAAATTGGTCTGGGCTTGATGGGTGACTGAGTTAAGAGATACAGTCATGAGAAACAGTAGCCCAGAGAACACGTCAGAGCTTTGGCTGGGCTAGAGATGGATTGGGACTGATCTGGGGAGGGGAACCGAGAACTGAAGGTGCAGTTTGGACTGGTGCAATGCAGGAAGCAGAAAGAGAGACAAAAAATGGAGGAACTGACTTTCTCACTCTGCATCTTAGTGGAAGGACAACAAAGATGCCCTGTTGGAGAACAGCCAGAAGATCCTGGAAGCATTGCTATACAGGTCCGAGATCCGTGTGCGGGGCCAGGAGTCACCCCCACCATCCAAAGAGGTGATGGCCACCTGTTTCCAGCAGCTCTCCAACTCCTATGATGAGGACTACGGCGGCTTTTCCGAATCCCCCAAGTTCCCCACCCCAGGTCAGTCTGGCCTCTGCTGCTGAGCCTCACTGTGGAGCGGGCAGCGCCGGGGGGCAGAGCCCACCCCACAGCCTCCCACTTTCTCCCTGTATTTCAGTGAATTTGAATTTCCTCTTCACGTACTGGGCCCTGCACCGAACAACTCCACAAGGTGCCCGGGCACTGCAGATGGCTCTGCATACCCTCAAGATGATGGCCCATGGGGGCATCCATGACCACATCGGTCAGGTAGGAGGAAAGCCTCGGGGGTAAACCCCTGGCATGCCCAGGAGGCGTGGGGTGAAGGCGTGGGGTTGAGATGTGTCCACTTGGTTGTTGCAGGGGTTTCACCGCTACTCCACTGACCAGCACTGGCACGTCCCTCACTTTGAGAAGATGCTGTACGACCAGGGGCAGCTGGCAGCTATGTATAGCAGAGCGTTTCAGGTACAGCCGTGGCATCCCTCTGCTGGGGGGCTCACGTGGCACGCTGAGTGCTGGCTGGGGAGGGCTGGCTTGGTTTAGGGAGCAGCTTTGAAGCCTGTTCCCCAAGATGTTCCCCGTCCCATGGGCACGGAGCAGTCCCATGCTCCCCTTCATCTACTGGTTTTCATCCGGACAGGAACACTGCACAAATCCGTGACAATTTAGCCCCAGGGTTTTGAGCATAATGGGGCAGGGAACAGCCTTCTGGCTGGTCTTCGCAAGAGTCAGCAAACACGTGCTGCTGCCTCTGACCTTGCTGTAACTCCAGGGTTGCTCTCCAGTGCCTGTAGACTTATGTCAGAGATCTTACTCTGAATCCATCCACATTTAAAATCCCTGGACATAGAAATGTGTTTCCCCCCCTTTGCCAGCTCTTTAAATCAGAATCACTTATTATATCTTGCTGTGTCTCTTGCCTCCCC